TCCTGAGCGAAGACTCCCAAATCCCTTTGTGCTTCAGATTTCCAAAGTCTTTCCTTCTTCAGAAAATAATCTGTGCCTCTATTCTTCCGACTAAAGTGCATAACCCGCCCTTCACTTTCCCATATCGCATTCCATCTGCCACTTCCTTGTCCTCTTTCCTAGCCTGTCCAAGTCTTTTTGCAGCCTCCTCACTTCCTCAACACTACCTGTCCCTCCACCTATCTTTGTGTCATCTAAAACTTAGTGCCAATGTCTTCAGTTCCTTCATCCAGATCATTAATATATAACATGAATAGTTTTGGTTCCAACTCTGACCCCTAAGGAACTCCATTAGTCACTGGCTGCCATCCTGAAAAAGACCTCTTTATCACTACGCTCAGCCTTCTGCCAGTCAGCCAATTCTCTCTCCATGCCATTCCTTGCCCGCAACACCATAGGCTCATATGGTGTTCAACAACCTCCTATGTGACACCTTGTCATAGGCCTTCTGTAAAACCAAACACATCATTCCAACAGAGATAATAAGAACTGCTGATGCTGGAGTCTGAGATAACACAGTGTGGAGCTGGATGAACACAGCAGGCCAGGCAGCATCAGAGGAGCAGGAAAGTTGATGTTTCAGGTCGGGACCCTTCTTCAGAAATGGGGGAGGGGGAGGGGAGCTCCGAAATAAATAGAGAGAGGAGGGGTGGGGCTGGGGAAGGTAAGGGATGGTGATGGTGATAGGTGAGTGCAGGTAGGCAGTGGTGGGGATTGGTCAGTGGGATGGGTGGGCGGATAGATGGGAGAGAAGGTAGACAGATTGTGTCAGGTCAAGGAGGTGGGGTTGAGAGGGAGGGTTGGTCATGGGATGAGACCGGGGCAGGGCTGGGGAGATTTTGAAACTGGTAAAACCCAACCACCCGCGGCATCTTTCCCTGCAACCACAGGAAATGCAACATCTGCCCCGACACCTCCTCCCTCAACTCCATTCAAGGCACAAAACAAATCTTCCACATCAGACAGGGGTTCACCTGCACATCCGTCAACGTGGTCTACTGTTTCCGCTGCTCCTGATGTGTCCTCCTCTACATTGATGAGACCAAGCGGCGGCTCGGAGACTGTTTTGTAGAGCATCTGCGCTCTGTTTGCGACAAACGACAACACCTTCTGGTCACGAACCATTTTAACTCCCCCTCCACTCCCTGGGTGACATGTCCATCCTGGGCCTCCTCCAGTGTCACAACGATGCTACCCGGAAACACCTCATATTCCACATTGGGAGCCTGCAGCCCAATGGCCTAAACGTGGATTTTACTAGTTTCAAAATTTCCCCATCATCGGCCTTAGCCCATGACCAACCCTCCCTCTCATCCCTGCCTCCTTGGCCTGACACGACTTGTCCATCTTCTCTCTCACCTCACTGTTCTCTAGTTGGATCTACCACAGGTTGCTCCAAAAGGCCATCTCGTAGACACTCCATGAATTTTTTTCTGGCGATCTGGCTACCAACTTGATTTTCCGAGTCTACTTGCATATTAAAGTCCCCTATGATTATTGTAACAGTGTCTTTCTTTCATAGTTTTTCTATCTCCTGATTGATTTCCTTCCCCACATCCTGACTACTGCCAGGAGGCCTGTACACAACTCCCATCAGAGTCTTTTTCCCTTTGAGGTTCCTCAACTCTACTCACTTAGATTCTGCGCCATCTGACTTCTTGCTATTGATTTAACTTCATTTTTTATGAACAAGGAAATCCTGTCCCCCTGCTCATTTGCCTGTCCTTTAACCAGGACATATATTCTTGGATATTTAGTTCCTCGCCTTGATTCCCCAAGCAGCCACATCCCTGTGTAGCAGGTAAAACATCGTACCTGCCAATTTCAATCTGCACTACATGCTCCTTTACCTTGTTTCATATACTCAGTGCATTTAAGTACAACAGTGTCAGTCCTGCATTGACTGCCCCCTTCTTACAATTGTCCCCTTACCTGCTGTGCCTGAAATTAAATTCCTGACCCTTTTCACACTCTCTGTCCTACTATTTGTTCTGGAAATTTTAATAACCGCTGCTGAGCTCTTCGCCACCACCCCTTTTAATTGTTTCCATCATTTTCCATGTAACCGAACCCACCCCTGACTATTTTGTTTAAGGCCCTATTCCCCCTGGTTATGAGATTCACCAGGAGTCTAGTCCCAGTATGATTCAGGTGGAGCCCAGCCCGTCAGAACAGCTCCCACCTTCCCCAGTACTGGTGCTAATGTCCCATGAATTCAAACCTATTTCTCCCACAACAATCTTTGAGCCATGTGTTTACATCTTCAATCTTATTGGTCTTGTGCCAATTTGGTCATGGCTCAGGTAGTAATCCAGATATTATTCACTTTTTGGTTCTGCTTTTAAATTTTGTCCCTAGCTGCTCAGATTCCCTCAGCAGAACCTTTTTCTACCCATATTGTTGGTCCCTAGGTGGACCATGACAACTGGATCTTTCCCTTCCCACTCCAAGTTCCTCTGCAGCCCAAATGAGATACACTGAACCTGGATACCAGGCAGGCAACACAGCCTTTGAGACTCTCGATCCTGGCCACCGAGAACAGTATTTTTCCCCCAACTATTCTATCCCTGAATAACTACATTTCTCTTCCCTCCTCTCTCTTGAATGGCTCCCTGTACCACGGTGCTATGGTCAGTTTGCTCATCCTCCCTTCAGCCCTCACTCTCAACCAAACACAGAATCTTAAACCTGTTAGACAACCTCAAGGGCCGAGGCTCCTCCAGCACTACCTCTTCGATTTGTCTAAGCGCCTCACTCATAATCACACCCTCCTGTCCCTGACCACTGACTGAATTTGAGATAGTCAATCTAAGGGTGTGCCTGCCTCCTGAAACACAGTGTCCAGGTACTCTCCACACCCAATGTGTTGCAATGTTTGAAGCTCAGACTTTAGCTAATCAATTCTGAGCCAGAGTTCCTTAAGCAACCATCACTTGCTACAGAGGTTGTTAATATGAACCACAATGGAATCTACCAGCTCCTACATCATGCAGTTACTATACATTGCCTGGCTTGGCATCTCTTGTTTTAATTATTCAGTTCTTAATTTGATCTTTAAAAAATTCATACTAGTCTTTTAATTTGTAACCTGTATGTATTTCCCCTATCTACCTTCAATCTGAAGGTAACCTATGATAGTCAAATTAGTAGTTATCACCAACCAATGAACTGACAGTTTATCTATGATCTCACTATTTTGTGCTGGGCCCTGGATCCTGGGCTTCAATTTATCCTTTTTAAAAAAAATACTTATGAACTATAAGCCAAAGAAAGCAAGCAAAAAGCACCCCTTCCCCTCTGCACTGAATTTGTACATTGCCTGCAAATTCCCTGAGGTATATACTCACTCGGGCCATGTCTCACTCTAGATGAGATCTCTCCTTCCTGATCAGGAGAAGCTTACTGACTGTGCGCCGCTCTTAAAATCTGCCTGTCCTCTGGTTAGCGACCCTCCTGCTGGTGGACAATTTCTCTCCTTGCTGGCTTAGATCAAGACTTCTCACTGTCAACCGAAGGCAAAACTTCAAAACTGCGAATTTTTATTGATGTGAATGGGAAAGACAGGGAAGTGAGGATTGAAAAAGGATTTTGTACATATACACATACCAGGTAAAATAAGAGGCAATTAGAATTATAGAGGGTTAGCAGAGAGCTATGAGGTAATAATCAGAGCATTTAAAAATGTTTCAAATAGAAGAATACGATTCAAGCAAGAGGAGAAGCCCAAAAATGAACTGTTTCCTTGTAACTAATTGTCAGTTTTAACAACTATGTTTAACTATTAAAGTTAATTTGTTGGATGTTCCTACTGTCTTAACACGGTTGAAAAAGCATCACGTAGCTGTAAATCTATCAGAACTGACTGTGATGTATGAGCTGACGGGTTCTGGACCATGTGATAGATCAATTTGGATGGGGTACAGGAATCAGATGTGCAAAATATGGTACAAACGTTTTAAATATTGCTCACAAAGATCTCCTCAGCATCAGTGAAGAAAGTTCCAAGACAGAGGTACAAGAGAGGGATTGGGATCTAATTCCTTTCTGATTGTATTCAGCACCAGGAAAGCTGTAAAACTGCTTTAGAATCTATTGTCTTTGTCAGAATTGCATCAGTGTGAGAAAAATCCTTTCTTCAGCACAATTGCGAGCATGCAGAGCAATCACTCATATCTGCTCCCCGCTTATCACTGCAGGACTGTTGACCCAGTATATATGAAGATAGTCTTGAATCTGTCTCAGATGCTTTAATTCCCTTGCAATGACACAAGTGTTAATTCAATCGTGGAATTTGCATGGGACGGGGAGAGGGAAAGGTCAGTAAGCTGGGTGAGATACTGGAGTGCAGCAGAGGTAATTAAAGCAAACTGTGATTGCCAAGGAGCTAGCTCAATCTCCCCAGCAGAAATGTCACCCCGCAAATATCAGATCCCCGGTTTTCATTTAACCAGACGTGTGCAAGCAAGTCTCAGACTCGAGGCCAAGAAGCCAAGCCTGAGCAGTTAACCCCAAGCAATTAGTGATACACTTCAGATTCTATTAATGCAGCAATCCAGACTGATAAAGAAATGCTCACAGAGTAAAAATAGCGCAAACAGGCAGAGACCTCGTCCATCCCATTGATTACGCCTCATCAAAATCTCATTCCTGTGACAGGGTGATTAGTAGGTTAATTTGATGATTTAAAAGGAATCGTTGCTGAAAGGCTTTAATTTTCATTATTTATTCATCACTTCATTTAATAATCCTATGAGACACAAAACGAGGGGCTGGGGAGGGTATGAGATGAAAATATGGTGGATGTTACCTAGCATGTCGTGGAAAGGTGGAATGAGCTATCCAGCAGCACTGTCATGGAGAGTAAGGCCTGTACACCTGGGTACAATTACAGCACAATACCATCCCCCTTTCAGCAAACATTCGCACAGCACAGCATGCCGCAGACAGCGCACAATAGGTACCTATCCATCATCTCGATGCAGTCCTTAATACGAGGGCCTGTGCACCTGCAGCACAGCAAGGTTGAAGTCCGTTATTCAGAGCAGGGTGGGGGGGAGGAACAAAAAAACCGTCATGTTAACAGAGTAATTACAACCTTCACAATGTTACAGTAACACAGTCACAATAGTTAAATTACAACCTTGGGCCGCATGGCACTTCAGCTTCATGGGAATCTGCCAGAGCACTGGGAACACCCCCAGACTGCCACGCCTCCAGCTGCCCCCAACCCACCACCACTGCTTCCTCCCTCCAGCCCCTCAATCTTGCGGGTCCAATGAAAATGACAGACTTAACAAAAAGCTTTTGTTTTGTTGGCAGCATACTAAAGCAGGGACAATGATAATGTGATCTGTATGGAATGAACTGATGATTAGGAAGAATGGATGCCACTTATGATTTGAATGGTAACCAGCACCCATGTTATAAACCAGTCTCTGGGAATTTGTCTTTTACTCAAATGTAACAGAGGTTGGCTTGTAATAACATCTGCAGGGAGCTCTCTACCTCCTGGAATGTGTCTGAAAACAAAACCAAGCAACTAAATAAAGACACAGGCACTGATAATATATCTCTAAATCGCATTTTCCCTGAAGGACATCACTGGCAAAACTAAAGGATTTGCCCTCCCAAAGAGCTCCAGATGTATTCAGGTTGTATATTAAAAAAAAACACAGACACCTCAGAATTGGGAAGTCAGTAAAGTGCCAGAGGTTGCCTCTCTAACTTTATGACATTGTGGTAACCCCTTTAATATGTTGCTGTCAGTTTCAACGCAGCCTGTCACTTATATTAATATTTAATAAACTGTAGGATATCTTCATGTCTCAACTCATTAACCTGTATCTGATTTTTGCTCCACTAGGTGGCTCTGAATCCAACACATTCCTGGGCAGTCAGAATGGAAGCCTTTCAGTTTTTGCACACAGCTTTAAGACCTGGAGCGTCTGGCTTTTAGTCCACACAGCGAGGCTGGCAGTGCTTTGTTTCTGATCATTTCTTTATCATTCCATCACAGGATGTGCATTTCATTGGTTGAGCCAGCATTTGTTGCTCGTTCCTAATCACCCTAGAGAAGGTGCTGCTGGTGAGCTGCCTTCTTGAACCGTTGCAGTCCCTTTGGTGCTGGTACACCGTCGGTGTTGTTAGGGAGGGAGTTTCAGGATTTTGACCCAGTGATAGTTAACAACAGTGATATATTTCCAATTCGGGATGGTATGTGGCTTGAAATGGAATTTTCAGGTGGAGGTGTTCCAATATGCCTGATATTCTTATCCTTCTAGATGGTAGAGGTCACAGGTTTGAAAGATTCTGTCAAAACAACCTTGTTGATTTGCTACTGTTCACCCTGCTGCCACAGTGCACTGGTCTTGCAGGGAGTGAATATTCAATGTGGTGAATGTGGTGCCAATCAAGTAGACTCCATCATTTGGATGGTGTCAAGCTATGAGCGTTGTCAGAGCTGTGAATGTCCAGGGAATTGGTGAGTCTTCCATCACACTCCTGACTTGTGGTTTGTACATGGAGGACAGACTTTGAGGAGTTAGGAGATGGGCCAGTTACTGCAAAACACTCAGCCTCTGACCTGCTATTGTTATCACTGCATTTATATGGCTGGTGCAGTTCAGTTTCTGGTCAACGGCTACTCTGAGGCTGTTGTCAATTCTGATTCAGGTGATAGTCAATGAGAGATGGACAGATTCTCTCTTATGACATTTTCTGGCACTAACATGGCACATGTTACTTGCTACTTATTGGCCCACATTGGAATGTTATCCAAGTCTTATTGCATTGACTGCTTCAGTATCTAAGGTGTCGCGAATGGTGCTGAACATCGTATAAGCACCGACGAATATATTCACTTCTGATCTTTTGATGGAGGGAAGGTCATTAATGAAGCAGCTGAAGATAGTTGGGCCTAGGACACTACCCTGAGGAACTCGTGCAGAGATGTCCCGGAGATGAGATGACTGACCTTCAACAACCACAACTATCCTCTTATGTACCAGTTACGGGTTCCATCCAGCAGAGAGTTTTCCTCGATCTCCTGAGTTCCATCTTCCTAACAATCACACTTAGCAAAATGCTGCTTTCAGGCTAATTAACTGCCTCTTGATAGTACTATCAAAGATACTTTCTATCACTGCTGATGAGAGAGAATCCGCTGATAGAGTCATGATTACCCAGCTTGTTTCCAGTATTGCGTGTTCATTACATACCTGGGCAGTCTTCCACAGTTCTGGGTGATGCGGTGTTGCAGCTCCTGGAATACCTGTCTAGGGGCACATGTCTTCAGCACTACAGTCGGAATGTTGCAGTAGCCCATTTGCCTTTTAAACTCTCAGTTCATCCAGCTATTTCTTCCTATGACATGGAGTGAATTGAATTGTCTGGAGATCAGCATCCATAATGCTGAGAACCGAGGGAACAGGATCATCCACTCGACACTTCAAGCTGAAGATCAATGCAAATGATTCAGCCTTGCCATCAGTACACATGCTGAGTGCTATCATTGAGGAAGACCTCCCCATAAAGTCTCCTCCTCTGGTTGGTTGTTTAAGTTGTGAATTACCACCGCCAACCGAGTATGGTGGCATCACAAAGCTTTGAGCTGGTCAGTGAATAAAGATTGGGAGTCTGTGTGTTCTGGTCTCCATGTACTGAGGCGGGACATGTTTGAGGTTTACTGAATTTAGCAAAGAAATTATGCAAGCTTGTTTGTCCTGGTGTTTAAATCTCAATGATCATTTGGTGCACATGCTGTTGGCTTTGCCAGGCAGGCGATGGAAATTACAGTTAGTTAGGGTGAAGGAGCACAACATGTCAGGACTGAAGCAGAGAGGTGTAGGCAGAACTATGATAGAGCAATCTCAAAGGGCTTAAAGACCTAATGCTGCTCTAAAGTCTCATGTCCCTATTCTTATGTGATAAGGTAGAGGAAAAGGGCAACTGAAACATGGAAAAAACAACCTAAAAGAACTGCAGATGCTGTAAATCAGAGACAAAAATAGAAATTGCTGGAAAAGCTCAGCGGGTCTGGCAACATCTGTGGAGAGAAATCAGAGTTAACAGTTCGGATCGAGTGACTCTCAGAACAGGAGGGTCACTTGAAAAACATTAACTCTGATTTCTCTTCACAGATGTTGCCAGACCCGCTGAGCTTTTCCAGCAATTTCTATTTTTGTAACTGAAACAGAGAGACAGGAGAGTGATGAAGGAACTGGAGATCAGTGCAAATAGTTAGGCACCAAAATCCACAGCAGCCGAGCAAGACTGGATAAAGCATGATGTAAGTCTATGTTACTGGGTAGTCCCAGTGCAGTGCAGTTTGTGATAATGACATAGAACGGTTCAGCTGACCTCATTAACTGAGGCCTTTACTAATATTTAGACCTGGAGATGTGTTTCTGCCTCGGTTTGTACTGCAGAATGTGTTATTTATACTAAACAGAGTTATAGCGGTGATTCCCTTCATTACCCATTCCATTGCTCATGACTTCTGACTTAATTACAAAAATTAATGTTGCTATTCCATCCACTGAGGACTATCACAGCTTTTGTACACTGGATGAAATCTGAGTTGAAAGAAACATCTTCGGTTTGCAGGCAAAACAGAATACAAAAAGAAACACAAGGCAACAAGCTGGAGACAACCCTTTTAATAAAAAGTAGGAAAGTGCCTACTGCTCCCTATTTTTGATATTCTACCAATGAGATGACACATGGGGGATATGTTAAGTGTCTGAGGATGAATTTCTAGTTTGCTAGTTATGGAAACTATCAGGCATTCTCCTACAGTGTCCGCAGTGATCCCCAGGTTGCTCATACAGAAGCGTATTTAAAACACGAGAAGCAGATACTGGAAGATGACATTCTCGGTAAACATTCGATTGTGGTAGCAATTAATGGGGAGATAGTTAAACTTTCGCACTTCTGTTCATGGGTCTGACTTTTAGGCTGTTGAACTGCAGCTGATTTATGTATAGAAAGCATAATTCCTCTGTCTGGCTTTACATTTTAAGTTTTAATTGGAGCCCAATTGCAAGTCCTGTTGAATGCAAGCAGGGTTTATATATATGATAAAGAACAGTGTGGGCATACAAATGCTCTGCCTCTACAGGTTCTGTAAAGGATTTGAGAGAATGTTTCAGTTTTATAATCTTAGAAATGAGTGTAAATTTTTGTGGAGTGAACAGAACATTGCTTTATCTTTTCAGGAGTTATTAGCAGGCTAGTTAACCCCACCCCGCCATCAACCCTCATTTTTATTATTTCCTAGGGTGAACGGTGTGTTTTAACACCTGCACAGCAGTAAAGCATCAGCGTTCATAACCCAGACTGTCATCTGTGAACTACCATAATGAGATGAAATCGTGCTGGGAACATTTAGGCAGCAGTTTAGCATAACAGAAGTCCTGAAGAACAAAGCAGGATTGCAGACAGAGTTTGACTCGGTACAGGAAGCAGAACAGGTAGGGAGTACTTGGGAAGAAGAAAATGCTTACTTCAAGTATTGGGGGCTGTCAGTGATGATTAAATGTCCTACAGCTAGAGAAATTGGCAAGATGTTAGATAATAATTATACATCACACATTCTACTAAGCAGAGCCAACATCACTGGGCATTTGGGCATATGTCACAAGTAGACAAGTCAACATTTGAATTATCCTATTGTTGGACAATACCCTGAGTGGTAAAGTAATGTTACCCAGTTTGGTACATGTGTAGGAGAACCAGGAATAGAACACACTGTCTCAGTGGAGAATGAGGTTGTTATTATTAGGAAGTGGAAACAGGAAAATGGCACGGCAATTGTCTTTAAAGACTCATCACTCAGGAGTGTTTGATGTATGACATTGTATTCGGTTCCTGATGCATTCAATGTCTCTCCAAACCTCTTCCACATTGATGAGCAAAGTAGTTGCTGCCAGCCTTAACAGGACCTGGTTCTAACCGATTTAAACCACTGACCCCTTTCAAGAAAATCACTCTGAAATTTAGACTATTGGAGATGATTTAGCCTAGTGAAGTCGGAGGCTTTGTCATTAGTTCATGGCTCATTGTGAAGTGGCTTGTGATTGAAATACTGATCTAGTCAATGATGGGTTTACAGACATACTCTCAAACTGAGTCTCATGCATTGAGAGCAGTTCAATTTGTGGACCATTTTGTTCACTCTCCTCCTGTTGAAATGGAAGAACTGTGAGCCAGACAGGGAGTGATTCCAACTCTGTGACACAATCAACATCATCCAAAGTAGCGAGCAGTGAGGCTGAGGAGGAAACATGACAGTTTCGTATATAGCGCCTAATTGAAGAGGGCCAAGTGGAAGTGACTGCTTTCAGTAGTGATCTTCTCTCTTCTGCTCACTCAGTGACAAGGCTTCCCAGGTTCAGCAGCCTGATGAAGACTGATATCTGAGTGTGGTTTTTAATCTGAGTCACCAAGTTCTGATGAAGAGTCTGACATTTGAACTGTACAGTGACATGTTATTGATTGTTCAGAACATGACAACCTCAATGTGTGCTATGCAGTCTTGAATGGTGTACGTCCAAAGGACTGGATTTCCCATGCAATCAAACAGTTTGGGCACAAATCTTAAAGGTATTCTATTTGATGCTTTCAACTTGATTGGAATTTATAACTCAGGGTTAAGTCAGGGTTCACAGATCTTACAGAGAACGTCCACATTCCCTCAACGGACACCTTGATGGAAAGCCCAATGATTACAGTATTGACTGTGGTTGTCACAAATGAATGGCCTGGCACTTGAGGCATTGCAACAGTGAGGCCATGCATTGCTGAAATGGTGATGGTGGGAGGTGCCTAAAAAACAGACTTGACCAGCCAATCTCCTGGCTAATGAGGTGCAGAATCTTTGTAATGTACATCACCCTCGGGGCCATCAGAGAATCAGCTCCGTTCACAAGGGCTGCACCGGAACGCTAATTAGAAACCAAGTACACAGTTTTGTAACACATCACAGTGATAATGAACAGGTTGACACACATGCAAAGAACATGGATTGAACATTGTCCTGTATTTATCCTATTTGTCATTAATTAGAATGAAGCATGCACCCATCATATTGTATAATTCAGTCAGCATCCAAGGAACTGCAAAGTATTGGAGAATGTGATTTCAAACGGATTATCTTCCTGAGGTGGTTTGCAGCTTAAAGCAGTGACTTGATCATGGCACTCAATGGAAGATGGCCTCAGCTACCTCCCCAATGTCTTGATGGCTCTATTTTTTCAGAAGGGCTTGGCCACCTCATCATTTGATCTCCATGTTGCCTGTCTCAAATGAATGGCGCAGAACTCAATGCACTGCAACATTGTGGCCGAACAGCTCAAACATGTTGATGGATGGTGCAGGTGTCTAAAGAACAGACTGGATTGGATATTATCGAGCTCCAGAATGCTTGAAACATCCTGATCATTCTGATTGCAGCAGCAATCTTTGCTTGAGCTGTACTTTACAAGGTTGCCAGCAGCCATGGGTGCAGGGACCGATCTTCTATCCTCTTTAATGATACAACATGGAGGTTAATCTTAAAATGAGTGTACGTCAGTAACTTGTGGGGAAGCAGTGTATTAACTTGCTCCATTCTGTGCCTGGCATGAAGTGAACAAAAACCACTTGGATTTGAGACTGAAGCAAGCAAGTTGTCTTATATGGAAGGGGCAGGGAGGCTAGACATGTATCCACCAGAGTTCAGGAGAAGGAAATGAAATTGATTAAAATATTCAATTTCCTGAGGGGGTCTTCACCAGATTGATGTGAAAGGTATGTTTCCTCTTGTGGGGCTATCTAGAACTGGGGTTGAGGGGTCACCCATTTAAGACAGAAGGAGGGTTCCATATCTTTGGAACCCTCCTACTCAAAAGACCATGGAAGCAGAGTTTCTAAATACACTCCAGGCAGGCATAGATAAATTCTTGATAAGCAAGGCAGTGTAAGGTTATCGGGGAAGGCAGAAATGTAGAGCAGTCAGATCAGCCATGATCTTATGGAATGTAGGAACAGGTTCAACAGACTGAATGGCCTATTCCAGACCCTGATTTGTAAGTGAGGGTGGAGAACACTTTAAGGTGAAGAGGAGGCACCCCTGAGGTTGGGTGGGAAGCTTCTGAGGGAAGAAAATGGTCTCTGAGGTGGGAGGGAAGAGCCAGCAACGAGAGGGAAGGTTTCTCTGAGGTGAGTGGGAAGACTTTTCTGAGGTGACCATCACTCTTGGGGCCTCCGGACGGTGGATGTGGTAAAACTTGGAACTCGTAACAGGAGTGACAAAAGCCGGCACCATGTTCTCACCGGGTGAGCTTACTTCGCACAGAATTAATACCCTGATGATGTTATTGAGAGTTTTAGTATCAGGTCAAACAGCAACTCTAAGTTCACCATCATCTCAGGGAAAGACCTCAAAAAGCCTCTCTCTCCCTGGGCCTGCACGGACACCCATCTCTCTCCCTGGGCCTTCACAGTCCCCTCTCTGTTCTTGAGCCTGCACAGACCCCTCTCTCTCCTTGGGCCTGTACAGATCCCCCTCTTCCTGGGCCTGCATGGGCCCATCTCTCTCTCTGGGCCTGCACAGACCCCTGTGTCCCTGAGTCTGCACTGACCACTCTCTCCCTGGGCATGCACAGACCTCTCTCACTCATCCACTGAAGAGGAGACTTGTAAACCGAGTAACAGGTAATCCAGCTCTTAACATTTTCCTCCCACATACGTTTCGTCCCATACAGCACATCAAGAACAAAGGTCATGTCTGCTTGCTCACCACACTTAAGTGATCACTGAGTGATCAAAATTCATCGTCAAAGACATCATACACTGTTTGGGCTACAATTATGACACTTCCAATTGGGGTTTTTCTTCTGCTCTGATGTGGTCATTTTTTTTTCTCTCTGTTGTCCTGCCTTTTGCTTGGATTAGCTTCCTGGACTTTACCTGAGGCGTCTGTCTTTCTTGGAGAGATGGCTATTTCGCCACACGAGAGACAGTGTCACCCAATCTCATCCTAATCTGACATCTGCCAGTCCGGTTTCACTGGGCAGCTGCCAGGAGCAGCAGTTTCAGCTTGTTATTTTTCCCGGATGCCCTGTTCCAGGAGGTGCTGGTGCCAGTTCGAGAGTCCGACGTACAGGAACTGAATCCAGACATTTCAGCACCTGAAGCTAGGCCTGCGAATCCCTCCCAGTTTCAGATATCATCCTTTTGGAATGTTTCAGATTGTGAAGGATTTCTTTTCCCCACCCTTTCTGCTGGATTTCTGAAAGCGCCTTTTGCTGTACTCCTCTCCGTCCTCTCCTACAGTTCGTGACAACAATTGCTTTCCCTGATATCCCCCAATTCCCTTTAGAATGTGACTATTGAAACTGCTTCCACTGCCCTTTCCTGCAGCACATCCAGATGAGAACAACTCGCTGTGCACTGTTACCTGCTCTTTTCCCTCTCTGGAGTGCATCAGATGGGAATGTTGGACTGAAACAGCACAAAAAAGGCTAAAGCATCAGGCACACTCTACCAGAAAATATCTAATCAATCATTGGAGCTGAAAACTGGCCAGTTCAAATGCCAGAGCACTACTACTTGGCAACAGCTTCATTTAAATTTCAGTCATAACCAAAGGTGATACTTTACTTCCATTATCGTTTAATAAAAGGAAAATAGTTTATTGGTCCCAATCTTGGCTCACAACAGTGAGAGAAAGGATAAATCTGTTTTGATCCCACTGGCACAATGACATTTTCTGTCATTTCCCTCATGCCTCTATTGTAATTAAATTCACCAAGAGAAAGAACTATTTTCCAATGCTTGACATTAACCGTAAAGTTAAGCAACACATTTAATTATTTATTGATTTAAATTTACTCATAGACTACGGGGCAGCTGCTGCAGGATCCCTACTCGATACTGAAGCCTTGCGTGTTATTTCCGGTTTCAAAGAAAACGTAAACAGAGTGGATTTCCTAATGTAGAAAAGTCAGTTTTGAATGTTCTATAATTACTTATCAAGATGCAAACATCTCAACTGTAGCTGTCAAAAGGGGAAAGAGCTAACCCACCACTGAAACAGGCTTCTCCAGCAGCAGGAAGATAGAAATGTTTTGAAATTACAAGCAGGGAATTCAGCCAAAGAGACACGTCGAGTTCTAAGCTCCTTCTTCGTCTAACCTTATCAGCAAATTTTCGTCCTCCTTCAGGTACCTGCCCAACATCCCCTCAAAAAGCATGGAGATTACAAACCTCATTTTCAAGTTTCCTCCCCCTGTGCAGACTCTGCTTTCCACGTATTGTCCAGCACGCTTGAGAGAATCACACAGGGTGGTGACAGTTCTGTGCCCCCCATGACACTTACCCCTGGGTGCAGTTGGCATGGCAAGGATGGCACTCGTGGTTGGAGTCAGCATACTTGAAGATGAAGCCCTTGGCGCCATGAAGTCCATCGGGACACTTCTCCACACAGTTGGGCCCATCCTTGAAGTGGGAGCACTTGGTGCAATGGTCAGGGCCCTGGCAAGCCACAAGCAAACAAACAGCTTACACTTCTTGCCTGAACCGACAGAAAATGGATGAGCACCACTTGTAAAAAGTGAACAAACTACCAGAGGATTGTTTATGCATGTTCCCTGCATTTTATCACTATCGCCAAGGACAGAAAGAGCCCTTGTCTCGAGCTATATAACTAGCAAATGGTTAGAAGACCCACAACAAAAACTGTTTCAACATAAGGATTCTGAGTAATCCAAGATGGAGACGGGAAAAAAAAATTGTGGCCGAAAGAGTTGCTCCTTTTTTGAGGTATTTTCAATGTTGGAGCTGATTTCCTCGAATTCTAGGAGCAGAGCAGTAATCATTGTTTTATAAGCTGTTGCATTGTTTTGCAACTTTGGGGGAAAAGACATCAAAACAAAGGCACTTTAAAAAGGAGAAAGAGAGACAAAGGCAATGAGCACATGGGAAGTAAATCAAAAGGAGCAGTAAACCTGCACAGCTGTCTGACCCAGCAATAGCCTGCACAGCCAACTGCCTCTGCTGTTTAGTTTAACAACGTTTAAAAGGCATCTGGATGGGTACGTGACTAGGAAGTGTTTAGAGGGATATGGCACAGATGCTAGCAAATGGGACTAGACTAATTTAGGATTTCAGTTCGGCATGGACGAGTTGGGCTGAAGGATCTGTTTCCATGCTATACATCTCTACAACTCCATGACTATGAGGGTGTATGACTCTACGTGGTATATGCACAAAATCCCTATTTTTTTGTTTTAAGCTAATACTCTGTGCTCTTGAATCCTGACACTGTCATACTGGCAAGAGGATTGCCTGACAGGGAACCAAGTTTCTGCTCCAATTGGGCATACTCTTGTAGGTTTTATCATAATCACCTCTCACCTCTAACTGCTCAACCCAGTCAATCAGCCTTTCTTTGTAATTCTTCACCCAATGCTTATGTCAATGATACATGATGTAGGGTAATAATTCTTTTTGATGCCTCTGTGGTTTTTCTCCCAGGTGTCGCCAGCAGCAGTAGCCTGGAAATTAACCTCGATGTCCAGGAGAATCCAGGGTTTTCCTGCAGGGTTGATTATCCCCCCAAATCAGGGATGGAACCAGGAGGCAGCAAAGCTCTCCTTGTGTTTCTTTTCTTTTTGAGTCCACCGACTGTGGAAGAACTTTGTGTTTAAAAGAAAAAAACATGAGCACACATCAAGTCTTTTAATTTTAGTCTCTAAAGAAAGTTGCACATTGTGATGTGGTTCAGTGTGTATCTCTCTTGAGCCACAGTCAGAGTGCTGTGGGTTCGCATCCCACTTCACAGGCTCAAATATGCAATCCAGCGGGACATACCAGTGCAGCAGGGTGTACTGCCCTGACAGAGGTAACCATCGTTTGGTTGCAATGTTAAACAGTGACAATAGTTTGCCCTCTCAATTGGATGTAAAAGGTCTGGGGGCAATACTCTTCTCAGTCATGCCCTGCCCAAAATATACCCCTCAACCAGCCCTGTTCATTTCTGGTACAATCGGCCTTGGATGTGAGTAATTTGGCTGTTTGACATTACCGTGGCCTACAAATCCTGTAAACTGCCTTGGGATATCTTGAGGTGGCTGAGGTAGCTATATGAATGCAAATGTTTTTGAGTTGCGGCAACTAGCTACAGGGATCTGTGGCAGAGGACAGGCAGGATACCTCATCAGTGGCAGTACCGATTCTCCATCATTGTTAACTGTGCCCTGGAATCAGAGGTAATTTTGATGGGCACGGGGTGAGAACAGAAAGGGGGACATGTCATGATGCACGTTCCATGACAAATCATTTTCAAATGCTGAAATATGTAAAACTAATCAGCAATTCAGGGAACCACATGCCAGCAAGAGATAATGCCTTCCAAAGATGAGCAAACCAAAAGGTTTCTACTTTTTTGAAATGAAAGGGAGGGCCACCACCAATGTGACAATAGTCCCTCTAAAAGTTTAATTGGTGCATTTTAGGGAGCAGCCTTATTTTAAACTGCAGGATATAATGTTTCATGAAGTGCTAGAATGTCACTGAGTGGAAGTCACTGCTGGATCCAGGACAAGCTAGACATGGAAGAGAAATGCACCATGAGGAATTCCACGTGTGCCCCAACCCTTCCTCCACTCAGCAAAGGAAAAATTTGCAAGCTTCCTATGCATAGTCCAAGATTTACACGGGCAGCACTGGGCCCCAGAATCACCCTAATCATTGGTTGATAGCAGTCTTGTAGAAGAATCCAACCCTCCTTGTATTGCAGCACCAGTTCTACTGGGGAGCATGAAGCAGCTGAAGTGTTTGGTGCATTCCTAGTTAATGAGCATAATAGCTAAACAAGAATTTGCATTTATATAACACCTTCCAGTGGTCAAACATCCCAAGGTGATTTAAGAATGGGAGTGAAAAAATGTACAGCTGAACGATTTTGACACAAACTGTGGCTCCCTCATAAGAAACTCAAAGAATGCCTTTCAGACGATTAAACAATTGTGAATTGTGGTGACTGTAGGACGTTGGTTTTAATAAAGCAAATCAATTGACATTCCTATTCGACCAATCACTATCTGAAATGTTAACCATGATAGCCTCTTCTCCATTTAATGTGTTAATGTGTAAATAGAATTTCTCTTCTCCCCATCCCAGGGGCATAATCAAACATTATTTACCCCATCAGAATTGCATTAGAACAGCGTTTGTTATATCAGAAGCCATCTTTAATGATAACAATTGGGTTTCAAAGTCAAGCATTTCATAATGAATGTTATCGCATTGCAACAACACTTCCTGCAGTGCAAAAAAAGTCATGACATTTTAGCCTCATGAAGTGCTGTTTTGACCTTGGTGGCTGAGAGAAACAGAATCAATAACCAAGCAGAGGTTTCACCCCAGTGACACTGGCATTAGCACTTAAACCCTCAGGGAAAGGTGACAAACAAATGGGTGTGCTGTAAATTGGATAATTTTCTTCAGGATTGAAATCATTGATAAATTTCTGCAGCTTCCACTCAAGCAGCAACAGAAAGGGAAGGTATGGAATCACAAAGTTGTGATCCCTGCATAAACGACCCCAGCCGCTGGATAAAATGATCCTCGGCTTTGTGAGAGCAAACTATTCCTAATGTCTCACAAAACAAAATGATTACTAACACCAGCTTTCAAAGGAACTTTGATTTTATTAGATGGGATGGTTGAGGACATACTATATTGAGAGGTCCAAAATGTCCTTCCTCACCTATCTCTTATTTCAAACCGAGAATTTATTTTCTAAACAATTTTTGTTGCTTTGCACACCCAGAACCGTGACTGCCCAGAGTCCCCTTAGCATCCTTGTTTAAAATTGATTACCTGCTGTTTTGTTTTATCCCACTGAAAATTAATGGGAAGCTACTAACCCACAGCACAATTAATCTTGCGAAATTCTACTTTTAAATGACTTCTTGTTTTGTGCACTCTGTGTTCCTTCAATAGGACAGCATTCCCAGTCTATCAGCAGAGGGACCAGGCAAAGAGAAGCACACCAGTAAACATGCATGTAGCTAAGTTGATTTACCCACGTATATGTGGGAGAGATCCAATCAAACATTAATGAGATTTAGGTCTTGATTGTGTCCAATTAAAGCAACGCCACCAGCTTATGAAGCATAAACCTGCCGTGCACGTTCAGTGGTGTGTAGGCCTCATTAATTTTTAGGCTGTATGGGTGAGATCAACAAGTTTTCTGCTGCTCAGGATCTGCGAAAATAGCAGTCTAGAAAATTACAACATGTAATATGCTAAAGGCAATGAAGGATACAATGCAAACCTCCATTAGTGCTGTATAGCATTCAAAAGAGACAAATAACAGCACTGTTGTCAGACTTTCAATCTTTTTTTTTATGTTTAATATAGTAGCGTCAAAGGATAATCACTTTGCAATTTCTAATTGATGTGAACTTACCTTCCATTCTCAGAAATGGCATTCCATTGGCCGATTCACATGCTCTATGAATATCTGAACCTTCCAGGGATGCACTTACTCAACTTACCCTTGTCTCTCCCATTATCATTTATCAGGGAGCTTGCCTTATTTGCACTGATCGTAGACAGTAGGAATTAGTTAATGGACAATTATCTGTGAGAGGCAGGATCTTTGCTTGGTGACTAGCCCATTGCTCTCATGTTCAATACATCTTACTTCATTAAATCTACAGAACATAATGCTTATGGCTAGCAGCATTCATATTAAAAGGCTTTCACTGCAAACTCTTCCAGTTGTACTTTGCAGATACATCAGCTCCTCCAGAAAATATTGCTGGAGGTCATAGAGCTGCTAAATGAAAACAATACGTTGTGTTGCTTATTAACATCAAGACCTTTTGCAAGAATTTTAAAGGAACCTTCAGTGAAATGACAGAACTACATTTTCAATCTGACTCATTATTCCCAGACCCTGTGATAGGCGTGAATGAATGTAAGGTGGAATACCCAATACTCGACAGATATCTTATGGTGTGAGATTTGTTCCCTTTGGGACCCTGGAGAGAAAAATGGAGCTAGAGAAACCTGGACTATGTTTGATTACCAAAAGAACAAAGGAATCATTTAGCACACAGAATTTTTGGACTCTGAAGACATTACAGTGATAGGGAATGAGGCTGACCCCTTCCAAATGCATCGTGATTTATGAGACAAGTCAGTAAAACTGTGTGGACCAAGACTATAGTGGAATCTGTCAAGGAAATTCAAGAGGAGGGTATAAGCTCAAGTTGATAAAAAGTCAGTTTAGGACAGATGTACCAAAGTATTTCTTCACCTAAAGATCAGTTAACATTTTGAATCATTCATCTGGTAGCACAGTGAAGGGGACACCCTGGCATTTTACAACTCAGAGCAAATGGTTAAGGCAGAAATCTTGTCAGCTTTCAAGAATGGCTTAGATAGCTGGTGGTACAAAAAGATGTTAAAGGACTGGGGGAATGAATGGGCAATTAGGATAAAGACTTCAGCTCTTGGAAACAGACTTTTCTGTGTTTGTAACTTTTACATAATTCCACTGCTACCTCTGACCTCTTTCAATTGCATTTGACTAATTAGGGTCTTCATTGGGTTCTTGTCCATATTTAGACATACTGCAGAGGTACATTGCTTGGAAAACAACCACAGCAATTCAGCAAGTAATTCAACATAACAGTCCAAATACGTCAAAGGAATTCTTGAAACATTGTTGCAAAATGTAGACTGAGAGCTTTTACAATTGTGGACACAGTCCACAAAGTGAGGACATTTTGCATTACACCCAGTATATCTATACAGATAACCACCCACAGTTGGAGGTCATTGGGATGTGAAAGTGACTCCTTACCGTTCCATGACACGTTAACACATCTTCATCCAGTTTCTCACACTGCTCATCACATTCCATGCAGATAGTACCATTTGCGAATTCTCGAAAATCCCTGAATAAAATTTAAGCTCCTTGTTATAAGGTGAACTTTAGAAGGTTTTACATGTCACATTTTTCTTCTAACAACCTTTATGGTTAATTGCATTAAAACATAAGCTTGATGGCCTTCAACCAGGAGCAACTTTTGCAAATGTGCGCATAAATATTAACATCAGATCAACAGAATCACAGCAGAGTTTCAACATGGATGAACAGCTTTCAACCTCACTTGATGGAAATAGACAATTTTCAATTTGTAATCACCTAGCAGAAAAGCAGCTTGCAGAGGCGTTTACCAGAATGTTGTCAGAGATGACGAACTGAGTCGGCAATGCAACACTAGACAACTGGGGTTGTTTTCTTCAGAGCAGTGAGATTTAAGGAGAGACTCACTAAAAGTGTTTACAATCATGTTGGGTTTGAACAGAGCAAATAAGGCAAAATGGCTTCTGGTGGCAGAAGGGTTGGTGGCCAGAGGACAAAGGTTTACAGTCAAATGCAAAGTACATGGGCACTAGATATCTGAATTAAAAACAAAAAGGCTGGAAAAGCTCAGCAGATCAGGTAGTACCTAAGGAAAGAGTCTAACCTAATGTTTCAGGTCAATGAAACTCGATTTCTCTCCACAAATGCTGTTCATCGACAGACTTAAAGGCATTGGCACAAGAGCTGTGGGCCAGTTGAGGGCCATTTTGATTGACACAGTGGCTCAGTGGTTAGCTGGGTTGGATTCCACCCTTGGGCACCTGTCTGTGTGGAGTTTGCGAATTCTCCCCATGTCTGCAAGGGTTTCCTCCGGCTACTCCAGTTTCCTCCCGCAGTCCAAAGATATGCAGATTTGGTGGATTGGCCGCGCTGAACTGCCCATAGTGTCCAGGGATGTACAGGCAAGGTGGATTAGCCATGGGAAATGCATGGTTACATGGGTGGGGTGGGTCTGGGTGAGATGCTCTTTGGAGGGTCAGTGTGAACTTGATGGGCCGAATGGCTTGCTTCTACACTGTACGGTTTCTATGATTCATTTTCTTAACACGGTGAGATGTTATGAAAAGGAATGCACTAGCTGAAAAGGTGATGGAAGTATATTCAATAGGAAACTAAACACTTAGAAAGGAAATGTTTGCAGGACTGTGGGGAAAGACCATGTCAGTGGAAGTTATTAAAGAGCTCGCTCAAAGAGCCAGCAGAGACACAGCAGGCCGAATGGCTTCCATTCGTGCTTTACGATTCCTGTACAGCCTGGTCAGAAATAACCCTCAGGACATCACAAAGGTGTGGAAAAACATATCCCAAACAGAGGCATGAGGACTGGGAGCAGGTGCTGTATGCTCAGTTGACAAGATGGGACTTGTAAAGGTGTGTGAACAAGAAGAGAAAGGTGAAGGGGTTCACCATTTTAAGAAACTTTTTTTTATCTTCTTAAATGAAAATCTATGAGATCTTCTTTCCATGTTGGGCACATGCAAAATGTTTCAAGAAATTCAGTTTCAATACACAAAAAACAGCCGTTGAGTCATTCTTAATGCTAACAAGTTACAGTTTTGTTACAGTTACAGCTACAGCTCTGTTCCCTAGGGTCCCAACTCAAGTCCTACATAACATACTCCAGTCACTTATGAGAGAGCAGCAGTCAAGGGAGTTTACATTGCCTTCAGAGATAGTAGGAACTGCCAATGCTGGAGTCAGAGATAACAAGGTGTGGAGCTGGAGGAACACAGCAGGCCAGGCAGCATCAGAGGAGCAGGAAAGCTGACATTTCGGGTGGGGACCCTTCTTCAGACCCGAAACATCAGCTTTCCTGCTCCTCTGATGCTGCCTGGCCTGCAGTGTTCCTCCAGCTCCACACCTTATGTTGCCTTCACCTTGGTTTGCGTCTTTGACACAATATTTCTCTGGAATAGCAGTAATTTGAATGACTAAATATCATACTTGAATCAAAAATAGATACTCAAAATAGCACTGAGGTCTTCAAAGAGGAAATGCACACATTCTAATTATGAATAAGGAGGGCAAATGATACGCTGGCCTTTATTGCAATAAGATTTAAGTAGAGGACTAAAGATCTGTTACTTCAATTATATAGAATGTTGGTGAGACAAATCTAGAGTTTTGTGCACTGATTAGTGCTCTACCTAAGGAAGGACAATAAACGCCTTGGAGAGATTCAGCAAACAAATTCCTCAGATGGCAGCACTGTTCTCTGAGGGAAGATTGAGGAGACGTGGTCTGCAATCTCTAGAGTTTAGAAAAGTAAGTGACCCTGTAGAAACGTACAAAATTCTTAAAGGACTGGACTGGGTAGATGCAGAAAGGATGCCTTCCATTGTTGAAGGACGTAGAATGAGGAGACACAGACTCAAAATCAGAGGCAAGCTATTTAGGACTGAGATAAAGAGAAATTTTTTAGCTCAGAGTGTAGTAAATCTTTGATTCTCCACCGGAGATGGCTGTGGAAGCTCAGTCATTGAATGTTTTCAAGTCAGAGATTGATAGTTTTTTAGATATGAAGGATACATGGGCATTACACTGAAGTAAATGATCAGCCATGATCTTGACTGCTAAGGTTGTTCAAGGGACTGAATGGCTTACTCCTGTTCCTATTTCCTATGTTCCATAATGGGAAAAGGAGGGGCATCTAAGGCTTAAGCTCCTTGGATGAATAAAAATAATGAGGTTATAATGAGGCAGGAAGAAAAGATTAGATGAGGAAAAGGAGAAATCGAGTAAAGAACAAAGCTGACTACAGAAACTACAGAAGTACATAGAAGGTGTAAAAATGGGATTAAGATGAACAAAGGGAATGTACAGATTAGCAATTAACATCAAACGGAAGTCAAAACTGCTTCAAAATCTGTAAATAATAAAACATGAGTGTTGTGGCCCAGAGGCATCAAAGAGGAGATATTCGTGAAGAGACAAAAGTCATGGCTGAGATCCTAAATGAATACTTTGAGGAAGAGGTTGCTGTCAAAGTAGCAATGAAAGAGGAGGGAATAGTGAAGTTAATCAGATAAAAATAGATACACAGAAAGTTATTAACAGGTTAGCAGTCTCAAAAGCCGGAAAGCCACCCAGTCTCAATGAGTTTACATCCTATATTGCTGAGAGAAGCAAGGGTGAAAACAGCAGGCGCTCTGACCACAATCCTCCCGCATCCTGCTTGCAATATGGGGATGGTGCTTGAGGACTGGAGGATTGCAAATGGTTATAAAAGGGGAAGGGAGTAAACCCAGCAATAACAATCCAGTCTACCCAATGTTGGAGATGGAGAAACTTTTAGCGATAATTAACCTCAACAAATTTAATTTGCTTTGGGAAAGATATGGGTGAATAAATGGAAGTCAAGTTTATTAATGTGACTGAAGTCCTTGAAATAACAGAGAAGGTTAAGTGTATTAAGCATACATGGATTTCCAAGACATAAAACTCCATAAGAACTGTGGACACTGGAAATCAGAAACAAAAGCAGAAATTGCTGGAAAAACTCAGCAGGTCTGGCAGCATATGTGGAGAGAAAACAGAGATAACGTTTCAGGTCCAGTGACCCTTCTTCAGAACAGTTCTGTTGAACTCTACGTGAGTGAGTGGCAGACCTGCTGAGATCTTCCAGCAATTTCTGTTTTTGCTTAGACACATTTGATTTAGTTCCACATGACAGATTTCTTACTGAGATTAATACATATGGAATTAAAGAAAGTTTGGTCAACTAACTGCAGGACTAAAAGCATAAAGAAGCAGAGATGAATAATTATTTTCAGATTGGAAGCAAGTATACAATGGTGTCCCCCAGGGGTCAGTATTTGGGATCACCGTTCTTTCTAATGTACAGTAATGACCTGTTCTTGTGTATACAGGGCAAAGAATTAAAGTCCGTAGATAACGTGGAAATGGTCAATGTAGTGCACAATGAAGGTAATAATGGAGGCCATAGACACTGGTGAAATGAGCAGATACATAGACAATGAAAATTAGCACAGAGGACTGTGAAGTCCTACATTATTTGTACTAACACAAAAAATAAAGAATAATAAACTAATCGACTCAATTTTTAAGAGGGTGAAGCAACAGAAAGGTGGGGACGCCTGTGCATAAATGTTTGAATGTGTTAGCACAAGTAGCAGAGCATGTTAGGAAAGAAAACTAAATTCCTGGCTTTATGAGTTAAACAATGAGGTATGAGAGCAAGGAAGCTTCTCTTTACAGAACTTCAGCTGGAGCTTTTACGCCAGTTTGGGCAATAATGTTGAGATCTTGAAGATGTCAAGATCTTGAAGGAAGTCTTAGGGCAGAATTCTGAGAATGGTACCAGAGATGAGGGACAAAAAAATACCTGGAGAGACCAGAGAACCAGGACTTACTATCATTACAGCCGAGAATGTTAAGAGGAGATTTGGCAAACCTGTTGATAAACGTGAATGGATTCGATGGAGTAAGGCTGAAAAAGAAATTTCTTCCAGTGACAGAGACATTGGTAATGACAGAAGACAGATTTAAGGTACTTGGCTAAGGAACAAGGGGAGACGTGAGGAAAGCAAGTTATTTAGTGATTGTTGTGATCTGGAATTCACTGGCTGACAGGGTCATGACAGCAGATTTAAACTTCCATAAAGCAAATCATATCAATATTTACATAAAGAAATAGGTAAAATTGCATAGGGCTATGAGGAGAGAGAACAGAACTAGGAATGACTAGATTCTTCTACCAAACAGCTGATGGAGTAATGACAGACCAATGTACTGTATTTCCTGTACTGTAAGATTTTATGATTTCACCTTCACTCCTTGGTGAGAAGCAAACAAATCTAAAGATGTGATATCTAGGAATGGGAAGGAGCAACTAGCATAGGTTGGCCACAATTACCCATTGCCAGATGCAAACCCAGCATTGAGATCTGTCCTTCCGTTTTCTGCTCACTCTCTAAATGGGGCCTGGGTCCAACAAATCTGCCCCAGACATGACTTACAATTTCACATTCCTCTTCCTTTAGGGAAGGAAATTTGCTGTCCTTACCT